TTATCTCGAATGAATTCATGGACTCAAGCATTCTTTAAGTCAAGTTGGCAAAGATTTATCGTTATGCTATTCAGTGGGCAAGGATTCTTAAGGAACGTGCCATCTTAGAGGGGCACAGTTAAAATTTATATAGGATGAAATATAGTAAAGCATTTGCCAAATATGCTAACTAGATGATTCAGGGTGGGATTAGGGAGTGGTTAAGGAGTAGTCAGTTCTTAAAGAACGTGTACTTTTTCTATCTACTGCTCAGGTATTTTACCCAGAGTTCACCAGGAAAAGTCCAAGGTAGGTTGTGTGGTTTTAGGCCTGCTACATCACTAAGTTAACTATAGGTCAGGGCCAACTGAGCGTTGCCCAGTCTGCCACCAATCGATGTCTTATTTGATAAGATAGATGTAGGGAGTATACATATGTCTTATGTCTAAAATACACATAATGAGGAGTCCAGGATGTAGATAACGAGGTAGGGAGTTGGTATAGATAGTCTTATGGTTATGAACATCTTTACGACCCAATACAAAGCCAGGTCAAACTAATAATTTCTACAGGTGCGGTTTGTAACTTAGGATAAGCAATGATGATTTCAGAAAAATCTGGAAAGGCTTAGATGAACTGATGCTGAGTGACATGAGCAGAACCAGGAGAACATTGTATCCATTAACAGCAATGCTGTATAATGATCAACTGTGAATAACTTAACTATTCTCAGCAATATAATAATCAAAGATAATTCTGATGGACTCATGATGAAAAATGCTATCCACCTCCAGAGAAAGAACTGATGGCATCTGAATGCAGAATGAAGCATACTATTTTTATTTTCTTTCCTTCTTTCATTTTCTTTTTGGTTCAAGTTTTCTTACATAAAATGACTAATATGGAAATATGTTTTACATGATCGTACATGTATAACCTGTATCAGATTGCTTACTGTCTCAGGGAGGGTGGAGAGGATGGAGGGAAAGACAAAATTTGGAACTGAAAACTTAACAAAAACCTGAATGTTAAAAATTGTTTTTACATGTATTTGGGGTAAAAAAAATATATATTAATTTGCTTAAAAGAGTTCCTAAGGTAGAGAGTTTGGCAAGGTAAGGCAGAGGGAGACGCTAGTCCACAGCAGTGATAAGTACCAAACCTCTACATGGGCTCCTTTATTACCCTCCTGGTACATCAAGTCTTGGTCAGAGAGAGGGTTGCTTTGGACAGTGTGGAGGGGTGCTTGTAAGCCTAAGGAGATTGAGAGGCTTGCCGATATCCCATAGGCCTAATGGCAGTTCCAAGGCTACAAAGGTAAGCTATGGGCTCCTGGCTCTGCCCATCCTCCTGCAGCTCCCATTATTTCTCAGATTTATCTTGCCTTTTGGTCAGGGCCTCGTGTAACTTCCTTTCTCTTCCTGCAGGACCATAGGCTGCCTCATGGAGTCCCAGGCAACATCACAAGGAACAGTCCTGACTATTCCCCAACCAGGCCCCAGGGATGCCCAGCAGGGATCAGGGATGGAGCCGGTCAAGGCAACCATGCAGTTCTATCAGAGGAAAAAGCCCCTGGAGAAGTTCCTGATAGGGGAGCCCAAGGCCCTGGGGGTAAGTCAGTGTTCTCCTGGACTCCCCCTCACCAGGCTAGGGAGATGAGAGGACTTCCTTGCCACCTCCCAAGGGCTCAGCTTCCTTTACCCAGGGAGAGCCAGGTACCTGGGAAGTGTTCCTACAGTTCTAGCAGGACCATTTATGTGTCTAGGGAGGGGCCTGATGAGTCTTCATCCCAAAGGATAGAGAGAGATTCCCTAGGCTATGCCTCCCCTTGTGAAAGTTCCTATCTAGAGTTCACTTGTCCCAAGAACTTGCAGGGAGCAGTGAGGAAGGGATGTAAGGACATTGCCTTTCATCTTTGAGCACATCTCTTCTGAAGGATGAGAGGACCCTGCAAAAGGAGTTTCTGCTTTATTTCCTAGGTTTGCCTTTTTTCTCTAAATGATCTTCTATGGGCGCATTGGAGAGAATGCCTATGAGAGAAGAGGGAAGAAGTTTAGGAAAAAAAAAACAGTGGAATCTGTTGCAGAGAGGGAAAAGACAGGAGGCAGGGAATTCATCAGTCTTGGGCCTTAGTGTCCCAGTGACTCCACAAAGGGGAGAGCTGTCTTCTCATGTCCGGTATTTATTATCACTTTTATTGTAGTATCCCTCCCTACCCCCCAGTCAGCTTCAGTTAGCTAACTATGATCTCATCTTCATAGACAAAATGAGGTTGCCTCCAATCTTTTGCTTTCAAGGATGGGAAGCTTTGTTTGCTATATTCCTTTAGAGGAAGGCAGAAACCCTCCTACACTCAGTCAAGTGACTAGGGAGGGAAAACAAAGATAACTCCAAGGCCTCCCCCCTCCTAAGGAAGTTGTGCTTATTTCTTTAAGCTTTGACTGGAATCTCTTCAGAAGGAGAATCATTACTGCAGCTAAGCTCTTTGGAACACCGAGCTAGCACCATTTTAGTTAAACTGTGCCCTGAGGGTTATAGCTGCCTCTTCAACTATATTTCCTAACCACCATAGAAACCAGGGCCATGTCTCTGTCAGAAATCTGTCTGATTTAGGGTCAGAAAAGACATCTAATTCACCACTTAATATCACATTGCTGAGAGTGCTTCTTGTCAGCATCCCATCCATCCTTCTAGCAAACTTTGAATGACTTTTGGGGTCATGGTGCAAGTCCGTGGTGCAAAAGTCCAAAACTTTTCCTCTTCCATACAAATATTTGGGAGGGTAAAAAGGCATTGAAACAAAACTTGGTCCCTGTGGCCAAGGTCAATTATCTTTCCTAATTTCATTTCTCACCTTTCCCTTTATTTATGTGACCTGCAAACCTTTCTATGCTTGAGCCTCTCCTCCATCATTTATCATAATAATTCACATTTTATATAATGTTTGCAAAGTAATTCAATGAATCAGAAGGAAAATTATATAGTTTAGAGATGGAAGGGATATTAAGAAACCCCAAAGATCCAGTTTCTTGTCTTCAGGTAGCTATGGTGACATCATACCCATTTGATGGACAAATGGTGCTCAAGACCATCTACTTGAAGGCGGTTGGGTTCCATTCTTCCCTTAGTACCTCCTCTGACATAGGTTATACATAGTCTCTGTGTTTTATCTGTGTGGGCTCCTCTTCTCTCAGATCCCTGCTGCCAGGTACCTCCAGCAAAGAAGGTTCCATCTGGTAGAGAATTGTAGTTCTGGGGCAAAGCGAGTTACCAGCCACAGCCTTTTTTAATTTGAGAACAACAGGACCGTAGCAATCAATCATTGAGCCGATGGCCAGCCTGTAAAACTGAAGGAAAGAATCAAATGGAAATAGACTGGGAAGACTAGAAAGGGCCAAGTTGTAAAGTCTTTAAATGATAAACCGAGGCATTTTAATTTGATCCTAGAGGCAATAGGGAGCCATTGGAGTTTGTTGAGAAGAGTGATGATATGATGGGAGCCTCTCTTTAGGAAAATCTACTTGGAGAATGTGGAGGATGGATTAGACTGGAATTTGATGAGTCCAAGGACCAATTAGAAGGCTGTTCCATGAATGTCCTGGTAAATGTTCAATACATGGCTCTCTGAATTAAGTTTAATCTGTAAAATTATCATTTTCTGTGTCACTTTCTTAAGTCGCAACAATTAAAAAAAAGTTGTAGCATTTGTCAGTTTCCAAGGAGTAGATGGCCATGTTGAAAATTTAACGCTTGGTTCCTTAGACCCAATTGGAGCTGATGCCAGCCCATCCCTGGCTATTCTCATAGCCCAGGAGAGAGTGCCTGTGTGAGTGAGCCACCGGGGACACATGCTAGAGATGTGAAGACAGGAATGATGAGCTTTCACAGCTAGTTGGCTAACACAACTACTTGGCTAGTTGACTGAGAGTGAGGGCTTGAGAATGACAAAGAGGTTGGAAGCAGGAGTAACTGGGAGGATGGTGGTGTCCTACATAGCAAGGGGGAAGTTCAGAGGAGGGAAAGGTTAGGGGAAGACATGACTGGAAAGCCCCAGGGACTGACTGAGGATGTGGATTAGGAAGAGTGAAAAGGAGAGGAGGCTTCTTGCCTTACTTATTCATTCCACAAGCTTTTAGTAAGCACTTATTATGCCCCAAATTTTGTGCTAGATTCTGGGGTATATGTAAACAGACAGATCAGTCCCTGGCCTCCAGGGAGACTGCATGAGCACAGATGTACATATATATGTACACTGTATACCGAAGGCCAATTTTTTTAGAGGGAGGAGATAGCAGCTGCAACATCAGGAAAGGCCTCATGTAGAAGCTGATGGTTAAGCAGTGATCTGAAGAAAATTAGGGATTCTAAGAGGCAAAGGTCAGGAGGGAGGGATTTCTACACTTGGAGACTGACTGTCAAGTGTGAGGAACAGGCAAAGGGCCTGTTGGGTTAGACTGTGGAAAAGTAAAGGGAGATGATGTACAATAAGGCTGCAAAGGTTGGGGCCAGATCATGAAGGACTTCAAATGCAGCCCTGAAGCTATGGGGAACCACTGAATTTTAAAGAGCAGGGCAGTGGCATGGATAGATCTGTGCTTTAGGAAACCCATTGGCAGTCACATGAGAGGATGGATTAGAGAGAGGAAAGGCTGAAGCAGAAGTATATCAAGCAGGTGGAACCCCCTCCCCCTCACTTCTAATACATTGGCTTTTGGATTTAGGTCATCAGGAAGCTAGGTCAATGGGGCAACTCTGATCACCTGGAGCAGCTAAGAACCTTTGCTTGGCCAAGTAGATGTGCTCCTCAGGATATCTGAGCATGTTTGTAGGCAGCAGGGAAGGCTGGAGGAGAAAGGGCAAGATGAAATATGAGAGGGAGGGGCCAAGATTGTGCTGGTGATCTGCCAGAGATGAAAGGCGGGCGTGGGACCAGGGGCTCAAGTACTGAGGTTAGTCTGGGCAAGAAGGGCTGCTCTCACTCTGAGGCTTGAGTAAAGTTGGTCATAATTATGTTTTTAAATACCCTAAGAAAAAATTAAATTTTAGTTAGAACTTAGTGCCAACAAAATATAATTTCTTTCTGATAAATATAATTTCTTTCTGGTCTGATCACAGAAACAGATACCTGAAAGCTATTCTCAGATTTCACTGGGGTCAATGGACTAGAGTTTAAGAACTCCTGAGTTAAACTGATCCCAATGTGGAGTTGCCTGTTTCAAGATATAAAGTTCACTTTCATTAGAATTCTGCAAGCAAAGATCAGATGTTGTCATCGGGGAAAATATGTAGTGTACAGGCCCAGGTTGGACTAAATGGCCTGAGTTCCCTTTCTGTTGCTGGGCAAGCGCCTCACAATCTCTTTCCCTTCTAGGTGGTTCAAATCATGATCGGCCTCATAAACTTCAGCCTGGGCATTCTTTTGGATCTCATCTTTCATAAGCAACTTGGATTACACTTTTTGTTCTACTCAGGCTACACATTCTGGGGACCGGCTTTTGTGAGTAGTCCCTGGTGTTATTCCTTGTAGGAGTAATTAGATAATCTACCTTTTGGGCCCCAGGAGGTTGTCTGAGTCCAAAAGTCCTTTATTCTAGCTGTTTCTTCTGTACTGGGGTTGGAACTGAGGGCAGCCCATGGACCCATGAGCCTGCCAGAAACCTGGACCCTGCAAGGGGACGCTTTCTGCCCCACAACTATTTTGATCCCATTAATACCCAGTCAGGAGAAAGCATTTAGCCAGGAAGGAGCTGTACAGGCCATCTATTTAAAAAGGGAACAGAGCAATCCATTGATGGAGCTCAGACCTAAGAGTGGAGCTTTGACTTCTGACCAATACAATCAACAGCTCTTCAGCAGCACATTTGCCTAAAACTACTGATCTGTCCATTATTAATCTTTCTTATTGATTTCATTAAATCAGGCCCCAAACCTTGCCCAGACAACACTTTGTTTCTAAAGTTGATCACTATTTACTTCTGAAGCACGTGTGATGATCCTTTGTTTAAAACATTCCCTAACTCAGATTCTATTCTCATTTCACACCAGCAGCCCTCCAACTTTGCCCCTCCCCACTTTGTCTTCATGAAGCTTCAGAGCACTATTGGAAAGTTGTTGGGGTGGGTCCTGGGGGTCAGGAAGAGAGAAGCAAGTAACCCCATAGGTAATCTGTGGACCATCCGGTCCCAGCCCTCCCTCGCCTCCCTTTTACTGGCTTCACTCAGGATCAGAGAACTAACTAAAGACCCCACCTCCTAGGCTAATTAGTCCTATACCCTAATTTTACAGGATAGGAAACTGAGTCCCAAAGACACTAGATAATAACCACAGCAGCGGCAACAACAATAACAACAAGCATTTATATAGTGCTCTAAGGGTTGCAAAGGACCTGACCTGTTGCCTTTTCGGATCCTCACAGCAGCCCTGCAATGTAGCTACTATTATTTACCCTCATTTTACAAGGGAAACTGAGGTTAAAGGAGGTTAAGTAACTTGCTCCGGCTTATTTAACTAAATAAATCTTTAAAGTGGGATTTGACCGCAGGTATTCCTGAGTTTAGGGTGCACTGCTCCATCGAGGTGCCTCAAGTGACTTTTCTAAGGTCACAGGATTATTAAGCATCAGAGGCTAGATTTGAAGTCATGTCCCCTGGGACACTTTGCAGTGCGATTTGTTTTTCATCCTTTGCTAGAAGACTTCTGGTGAGGATATAAGATCACACCATGCTTTGACATTCAATTTCCATTGCCAGAGGCTACTAGGCAGTGCAGTGGATAGAGTAGAGGGCCTGGGTCAGGAAAACCTGAGTTCAAATCCAACTTCAGTCACTTCCTAGCCCCGTGACCCTGGGCAAGTTACTTAACTCTGTATGTCTCAGCTTCCTCATCTGTAAAATGAGCTGGAGAAGGAAATGGCAAACCAATCCAGTGTCTTTACCAACATCCCTCCCCCCCCCATGAGGTCACTATGCATCTGCTGTGGCTGAAAACAACTGACCAAGGACTCCTTCACCAGGGTTTGTTTCCCCATTTTGTACATCTCCAGTTCTTCTCTCTCAGGCTTAGTGATTGTATATCAGAGGATTTCCTTTTCCATGTCCCTTTTAGAATCCTCTTTAAAAGTTTGGTGCCCAAGGCATTTGGTTCATTTCGCTTCCAGTCCAGTCTGGAATTCTAGGGACAGAGAGACTAGCCCCTACTCTAGTTAGAGACATCAACTGAACCAGTGGATGATAGTGGGATACGTGTGCATCCACCATGTCGTCAGCACTGTGAGTCCTGTTTAAGCTGGTTCTGGTTCTCCTTTGGCACGTGTTCCAGGAAAGGCCACGTCCCAGAATTTCAGGCTGGACCATGCTGTCCAAAGTGGTTACAGTTAGCACTATCTTATTCCCTTGTAAAGGGAGCCCTTTACAAACACAGTAATCGAGAATAAGCAGACCCCTATCATCTTTGACAAGATCATAGATTTAGAGATAGAAGTGGCCTTAAGCTCTTCTAGGCCATCCCTTTCGTTATACATATGAAGAAACTGAGGCTCAGAGACTGAAGTGATTCACCCATGATCACCCAGTTGGTGTCAGAAGTGGGATTTATACCAAAGACCCCATCACTCCAAAGCTCAGTCCCTGAACTATTCTGCCTCTCCTGTCATTGAAGGTACAGCTCCGGGATGAGATAGAGGGGAAATGACCACAGCAATTCTCAGGGTCCTATTTGTTTTCTGGGCCTGCAGCAAACAGACTCTTGTACCATTCTTGTTTCTTTCTCCATGTTCCCCCCTCTTTCCTTTGGGGAAGGGCAACCTTAATCCCTCGGCTTAAACCCAGTGTCTTGTTTTCATCTTGCAACAGTTGGTTATCATAGAACTAGTTCAACAGCCTTGTAGGTTTGTGCCTAGAAGTATAAGCCCATGGCATGCTTTGGCTGGTCTTTGGGCACAGGGTCATAGAAGTCCATAATATGGGGTGTTCCATCCAGAAAATCGCCCAATTTCTGCTGGAATCCTTGGCCATGTCTTTTGTGCGATAAAAGTCTAATCTCCCTACCCACTCTCTAATCCCAGCACACACACATACACACATACACTCACACACACACACATATACACATACACACACACACACACATACACACATAGGCACATTTTCAAGCTTAACTTGAATGTCTCTCTTCATCTTCTTTCAGTCCGGAAGCACCTGGCCAACTTCCCCTTTTTAAGTACTACTTGATTTCAATCACTCACCCACTGGGAAGATTTCTCCCATCTCCTCCCAGATAAGAAATCTGCATGTAGCTTTTCATTGCACCAGAGGGATGGTCACTGACATGGAGGGTTGTTTCCTGAGGCCTTTTAAACAAGTCCTGTTGACTGAGTCCTTCTCAGACAAGGAAGATCCCCTTGGGGATCAGACTGTGTAGCATCTGTTTCTGAAGCTCTAGGTAATGTGTCTGTGATGAGTTAGAAGGGTATATTCTACTTAGGATGGGCTTCAATTCTTTTGCTTGCTGTCCTGGTATTGTTTCCTACAGTGACTCCTTGGGATTGAGAAAAAGATCCGTCTGAGGTCTCCCTTGGTTCTAGATCCAGGACCCTGCAGGCTCCTGGAAACAGAATCTGTGCTCCTTCAGTTACAGCAGAATTTCATCTCTAGTTATGGGATCAATTATTTATTTATTCATTCAATAAGCATCCATTAAGCACCCTTTCCCATTTTGTTCCAGCTGGGTGTGCCATTATCATCAGATCCTGTAGCACTGGAAATAATCAGTCTGTGAGATCTCAAGCTCTTCTTTGCTCTATCTGTGGCCCCAGTTAGCCCTGCATGGTGGAAGGCAGCATGGATAAAGAACCAGGAAGCCTGGGTCCAACCTTACCTCTGACACATAAAGTTGTGGGAGCCTGGCAAGTCCCTTAATGACCCAGGCAAGTCTCTAAGAGGCTGAGGTCCGAATGAGTTGCTGATCTGAATTATTTGGGGTATAAGTTACCCTTATGAATAACAATCATGGGGACAGCTAGGTGGCCCACTGGGCTTGGAGTTAGTAAGTACTGAATTCAAACCTAGCCTCATGCACTTATTAATTGTGTGACCCTGTATGAAGTCAGGTCACCTGTGTTTGCCTCAGTTTCCTCAACTATAAAATTGAGATAATAACAGCACCCACCTCCCAGGGTTGTTATGAGGATCAAATCAGATAATAATTGTAAAGTGCTTCGCACCATCCTAGGCACATAGTAAGTGCTATATAATAATAGTAACTAACATTTATGTAGTGTTTATTATGTACAAAGCACTGTACTAAGTCCTTCGTATAGTATTACAAATGCTATTAGATGAAGAAAAACACAGTGACATCACAGTTCCCAACCATCTAAGTCAGGAGATCCTGACCTTTTGGGTATCACAGACTCCTGCTTTAGTCTAGTGAAGCCTCTAGACTCCTTCTCAGAATCATGTTGAAAAGGTATAGAATAAAATGTGTGAGGTTACAAAAGAAATATTGTTATCAAAATATGTATTTTTGAAGTTCACAGACCCCAGATTAAGAGTTCCTGACTACACTGACTTTCCCCTTTCTGGTCAGTAGTCCTAGCTGGGGCTCTCTGAAAGAGAAGACCCTCCAGCATAGGCTTTCCAGTTTCCCTTGGTCTCTCTCACCCTCTGCTTAGAGGCCTTAGAGTGCTTTGGAATCCTTCTAAGTCTCCAGCCAGACTGGCTCTCCAGCTGGTTCAGTGCTCCACTGACTGAATGTGCCCATCACAAGTTACCTACTTTTAGGGATGGGAGAAGGTGGGCCTTCTATGAAAAGTTTGGGAGCTTGATGGGGGTGGAAGGGGGGTTGCAGGCCCTAAGATAGCCCTTCTCATGTTAACAGTTCATCCTCTCTGGCTCCCTTTCCATCGCTGCTGAGAACAGGACCACAAAAGGCATGGTGAGTGGCCATTTTTCTGTTCAGCCCAAGAAGGAAGGGGGTGGTAATGATTGGGTGGGGGGAGGGGGAGGACAACAGACTTCGTCTTTTCTACAGGAACTCTGAGGGAAGATTTGGTAGAGAGGGTGGAAGTCATCTTAAAGGACAGAAAGTTTTGGAAACCACCCTAATGCATTGTTGGTAGGGCAGTGAATTGGTACAACTGCTTTGGAAATATATACAAATAAAGAGCCTAAAATGTCCTTACCTTTTAATCACAGATCCTCCACTAAGCTTATACCCCAAAAAGGTCATTGACCAAAAAGAAAAGCTCCAGTTACAACAAAATAGTGAAAACAGCTTGTGTGTGTGGGGGGGGGGGGGGGTAGCAAAGAACTGGAAACAAACTAGATTCCAGTCTTTTAGAGAATAGATGAACAAATTATGGGACACGAATGTTATAGAATATTACTGTACTATCAGAAATAAAAAGCATGATGGGAAAAGAGAACCATGAAAAGAGCGTTAAGAACTAAATGCAGAGTGGTGTAAGGAAAATGATGTACAATGACTATACTAATATATTTATTTTTATAAATAAATTTGATTTGTATCTTTTATATTATCTATATTTCTCCTCTATTCTTCCCCTTCACTTTTCTTTTGTTTTTTGTTTTTTTGTTTGTTTTTATTTTTTTAGGCAATTGGGGTTAAGTGACTTGCCCAGGGTCACACAGCTAGTAAGTGTCAAGTGTTTGGTCTGAGGCCAGATTTGAACTCAGCTCCTCCTGACTTCAGGGTCGGTGCTCAATCCACTACGCCATCTAGCTGCACCCCCCTTTGCTTTTCCAAAGACCATCCATATAACAATTTTTGAAAGAAAAAGAGGAAGAAGAAAATAAATGAGCAAAACCCATCAATGCATTCAAACATTTTCAAAATATATATAGTATCACAGGCCTGTAGACCTTCTACCTCTGCAAAGGTGTTTTAGATGGAAGATGCCTTCTAATTTCTGTCAGTCTGTAAGTCAGAGAATAGAAGTGCCTGGAGGGCAGGAATTGATTCATTTATTTTATCTTTGTTTCAAAGTTTCTAGTATACAATCACCATGTAATGGAGGTTTGTGAAACTGATTTGAAATAAATTGGCCCCAATTTAATGAGACTGGCCTTTGGGGCTGGGGAAGGTCAGATGGTCCTGGGAGGGCCCTACCTTCCCCCATTCTGAGCAGATATTTCCCCTTTCTCCCCAACATTCTTCCTCTGCTTCATTCGATAGAGCTCTGGGATCATTAGATTTAGAGGCAGAAGAGACCTTCGAGGTCACCTAATTCAGCACCATCATTTTAGAAAGGAAGGTGTTGAGCAAAAGAAGGGAAGTGACTGCTCCAGGGTCCCGTGGGTACTAAGTGGTAGAACTGGCTATTTGGTGTTCAAAGCCCTTCTTACCTGGCCCCTCCTGCCCTTCCAGTCTTTTCACTCCTTTCTCCCAGTATGTACTCTAATCCAGTGACACTGGCCTCCCTGCTGTTCCACCTAAAAGCTACTCCATGTCCTGGTTCCAGGCATTCTCTCTGTCTGTCCTCATGCCTGGAATGCTCTCCCTCCTCTGCTCCAGCTACTGACCTGACAACTACTGGCTTCCTTGAAGTCCCAGCTGAAATCCCACCTTCCACATGAAGCCTTCCCCAACCCCTCTTAATTCCAGTGCCTTCCCTCTGTTAATTATTTCCTATTTATCCTGTATATCGCTTGCCTTGTATATATTTGTTTACATATTTTTTGACCCATTAGAATGTAAGCTCCTTGAGGGCAAGATTGTAAATGCCTTGTCTTTTTCCTCTTTTTGTAACCCTAGTGTTTAGCATGATGCCTGGCACCTAGTAGGTGCTTAACAAATGTTTATTGAATTGAATTAAAAATTACATTGCTGTCTCAGTCAGTCGATAAGCATTTATTAACGGTCTCCATCAATTTATTGGACCCTGGTTGAGATCCAGGCTCTGCCTATTACCATCTAGCGGACCTTGGGTAACAGTCAATCCAAAAAGAAATACAAAGACAAGATCAAAGATAAGAATTTTTTTAAGCAAAGATTAGGCACCACGCACTGTGCTAAACAGTAGGGTTCAAATAAAGAAAAGCAAAGAAAACTAGCTCCTGCTCTTAAGGAATTCATGGTCTAGCTGGTGAATGGGTGTCTATGTATATAAATATTTGTATCACTATACAGATTAATTTGCACATACACAAATATAACATGTACAAATCTCCACCTAGTCACATAAATGGACAGAAGTAGAGAGCAGGTGCTTTGGGTGATGGGAAACATTGGCAACTGGGGAATCTGGAAAGGCTTCATGTAGCACATAGTACTTGAGCTGAAGCCTTGAGGGAAACTCAACATCCCAAGAGATAACAGGGAAGGGGGAGGGCATCCCAGGCCCAGGGGACAGACAGCCCATGTAAAGACAGCTCTGGATCTCTGGTCTCTCAATTGCCTTCCTTTCTCTTTGGGCCCGTTCCTCTTTCTTCTTCCTCTTGATACTTCTCATTTGTTTCATAGAATTTTGATTTGGAAGACCATCTAGTCCAACCCCCTTTCATGGAGGAAATGAGGCCCAGAGAGAGGGGAAAGGCCTTGGAGTGGTTACCCAGGGAGGAAGTAGCCCTCTCATGTGCATCCCAAATCTGGCCTTCTTTTTTCTCCCTAGGGCTTACATAACTCTGCATCTGGCAACTCTGCTAACAGGGCCGGTTAGTAACAGACTCTCTGACCATTTCTGAATCTTTCTTTTCAGGTCGAGAGCAGCCTGGGATTGAACATTGTCAGTGCCATCGTCTCAGGGATTGGGTTCTATTTACTTCTGGGCAGTTTAGGCACTACATTAACCTTCTTTCATCTTTATGCCACTGAGTCTGATGTCTATCCTATGACCTTCTCCATCTTACTTGTAAGTATTCCCTGAGCTGGGTGGGAATAAGAACTCCACAGGAGAATATGACCTTCTCTTTGGTCTGCCTGGGAGACTCTGAGGCCTTTGGCGATGGGCAGACAGATTCAGGTACGAATCTTGGAAGATCTACCTTTGCAAGGTCCACATTTTCTCTAATGACTTATGATTTCGTGGATAAAGTTTATTGAATCTTCCAGTACCATGGACTTTATCCTCAGCATTCTCCTATCTCTCACTCCACCCCCATAAAAACTTAATTGGATCATAGACTTAGAACAGAGAAGGGGCTGGGAGAACATCTAGTGTGGCTTCCACATTTTATAAATGGATAAACTGAGGTGCAGAGGAGGATAATCATAAGCTAACATTTTTAAAGTGCTTACTCTGTGCCAGGCATTGTGCTAAGCATTTTATGAATAGAATCTTATTTGATCCTCATTTTACAGATGAGGCAACTGAGACAAACAGAAATTAGGTGACTTGCCTAGGATCACACAGCTAGTATGTGGAAGGTAAGATTTGAACACAAGGCTTCCTGACTCTAGTCATGAAGGTCTATCTACTGTACCACCTAGCTGCCCTTAGGGGATCATGGATTTAAAGCTAAAAGGGGGCTTGAGATCATTAACATGAGGGTCCTTAACTTTGTGTATGTCTCCTGGACTTTTATGGCACCCCCCCTTGTTGGGCGAGGGAGGTTCATATTTTTTAATTCATAAAATAAAGTACAAAATAGAATAGGAGAAACCTCTTATATTTGAATAGTTACTAATATAGTTGAAAAATAAGCTCATGGACTCTGGATTTAAAGCCTATGGTCTCACCCAAGGATGGGTTATCTGAGACCCAGAGATAAAGCATAAGATCACAGGTTTAAAGCTGGAAGAGGCCCCAGTCTTCCAGTCTAAACCCCTACTTTAATGTATCTTTAGTGTTTCTCATTCGTCTGATGGCTTTCCTATGGTATCCTCAGAGAGGCTCCAGGGACACAGGATAGAACAGGCATGATTGCTTTTGTTTGGAAAGTGCAGTGAGGTGAGTGAAGGGGTCTAGTGCTGAGGAAGCCCTCTGTACTAACCAAAGGTGGCAATTACTCTGCCAAGCCTGGTCTTGGAGAGTTACCTGGGAGCACTGAGGGTTAGGTGATTTGCTGTTATGTGTCTGAAGATGGACTGAAAACCAGGTTTTCCTGGTTCCAAGGCTAGCTCTCTCTCCACTGTTGTGGACAGAAAGACCACAATTCTCATGATATGTAGATTAAAAAAAATAAAAAGGGAATGGTAGAGGTCCTGGATGTTATCCCATGTCATGAAGTTAGGCAGGGCTGAAGCTGGGATGAGAAGCCTGGCCTCCTTATTTACATCCTTGACCTTAGCTAACCTTTGGTAACTTTCCTTCCTTCTCACTGAATTCCCTAACCCTCACTCTTTCCTGTTCCTTTATTTTCTTTAATATTTACTTTTTTCCCCAGTTATATGTCCTGTTCTGTTTCTAGGGTATCAATATTCTCCTGCTGGTCTTTACCTTCTTGGAATTCACCATTGCCATCGCCCTTTCAGGATTTGGGTGTCATGTGACCTGTTGTAACCAGGGTGGGGTAAGTCCCTGATGCCACATGGTACCCACAGTCCAACGGACCTTTATGCATGACATGCAAGCAGAAGGCCTGGACTGGACATTAAGGAAGCTGTGTAAGCTTCAGAGAGAGCATCTAAGGAAGAATAAGGGAGGAATTGGGAGGAGGGGGAGAGCAGGCTGACCATTTGTGTTGAGAAGCTGGGGCTGTGGGCAGCATGGCCTGCAGTTGCCTGCCAGTGCCAGTCTCCCCGGGCATTCCAGTCAGGGACTTATGGGATTGGTTTCTGTTGACTTGGCAGGTCACCCTCGTGATGCCTTTCTCTCCCTATGTGCAAGAAGCCCCAACTGCTGACACCCACAAAGAAGGGTTGGTGATTCAGGGCTCAGATGCTGATGAGGACAAGTCCCCAGGAAGTCATCCCAATTGTGGCATTTGAACCATGAGCTTCCTCATTGCCGCGGATGGTACTTTTTTTGAGTGGATACTTCTCAACTAAAGACAGGAAAATGACTAAATTTTCCTGAAGGTTTTTGATAAAAGAGTAACCTCAGTCTTGGGTATAGGCTCTTTCTCATGAGAACAGTCCACGAATTCCTTCATGGCTTGCACTAAGACAGCATCATCAGAACCTTCAGTGGATCATGCTTGTCTGCGGCTCCCCCTAAGTGTCATACGCTGAGGCAGGATGCTGAGGGACAGGGTCACAGGAGGGCAGAAGGAGGGAGGAATATGCATGGATTTAGAATGGAAAGGCACCATTAGATTTCATCTAGTCCATTCCCCCTTATTTAGCAGACAAGGAAACTGATGCCCAAAAAAGAAAAGTGACTAGCTCAAGGTCACACAACTTGTAAGTAGCACAGCTGGGACTGAATCTTTATTCCAAAGAATTATTCTTTCCACTATGGCACAGTCCCTCCCATGCAGATGAAGGGGAGCAAAGGGGGCCATAAGGAAAATTCTCCAGCCTTGGGAGTTTCTGCTGCCATTACTGGCAGAAGTGGGTCCAGTGATTCTCCACCAAAATCCTGGCATCGATATTCTATACCCTTGTAGCTGCTCTACCTCACCCCTCTCCAGGGCTGACCCCAGGCAGGAAGACAGGTCAAGACACAAAGAGTTGGAATTCCTTCTCTGGGGACCTCTGGGGGAACTCAGAGAGGCTGCCTAACCTCGTTTTAGATTTAGATCCACACAGACTCACATCATCTACCGGGCTGTTAAAATCATTGTCTAGTTCACTTATCCTGCCATACGTCCTCAGGTCAAGATCAAAGAAATTATACCTATTTCTCTTTTCCGCAGATAAATCAGAAGCCCATGGATCCAGGACCCAGGTCCTTCCATTCATCCAACAATGAGTCTACTGCTGTTCCAGAAACCTGATGCCCACCTCAACTGGATCCCTTTTCTCATAGAACTTTCCTGAACTCAGATTTCCTGTGTTCTAAGCAAACATCATCCTGCTCAGATTCCCTGAGCTTGACCTGCTTTTGAAACATGTTCATCCTCGTCTGAACCCCCATGTTCCTCACAATGTCTCACACTTTTTCCACAAGTGTCATACACAGTGTCTGGCACATAGTAGGTGCTTAATAAATGTCAGTTGATTGATTGCTTAATTGATTAAACTTCTCTTTAGGAGACTTTAGAATGAACTCCTAGAAACCTACCCTTTTCTAACCTAACCCCAGGGGTTGCTCTAGAGCACAAGGGGGTCTGTGCTTTCCTCCCTTTTGCATCTAAACAGAAAGGGCTGGAGCTCACAGTATTCTGATTGTGCCCCTTGGGGCCAGTTTGGAACCAGGCTCTCTCTAGCACCCCTAACTTCCCCGTCCCTTCAGGTAGAAGGGGTGGAGTTTAGCCTCTGGGACAAGCACATCCCAGCTCCCAGCAACACCAGGGACAGCAATCAGCTCATTGTTCTAGGGGAAAATGAAGTAAGCTCCAAGTTCAAGTGCTAGGTTCTGCTTGGGAGAGTTATAAAATCTCTGGAAAAATAACCTGGGACTTGATAACACCCAGGGAGGTTTTGTCTTGCTTTGTTTTTTTTTTGTTGTTGTTGTTGTTTGTTTGTTTTTTTGTTCTGTTTTGTTTTTGTCAGTCCAGGTTTAGTGACTTGCCCAGGGTCATACAACTAATAAGTGTCTGAAGTCTGATTTGAACTCAGATCCTCCTGACTCCAGGAATGATTTTCTATCCACACACCATATAGCTGCCCTGCCCAGGAAGCTCTTTTACCTGCCCAGGGTCACATCTGCAGAGTCCTGAAGAGATCTTCTATGACATACAAAACCTCTCAGGGCCACCCTCCCATGCACTCTCTGATACAGATAGGAACATGCCAATAGACAAGAGGAGTAAACACATCTATAAAAAGAGAATCAAGCTTCCAAAATACCATCAGTAGTGGAGATAGAAAAAAAAACACTAGGTCTTTCTCATTCCTGTCTAGACAGAATTAGGGGCAGGAAGTGGCCAGGGTAATCCGGAAGTAGCAGACAGTGAAGGGCCCCAGCTAGGATAGAGGTAACAGAAAATTGGACATTAGGGCAGAGTCAAAGCCACAATGCTAGGACAGTGGAATGAACATCAGGCCAACAACGGGGCCATGTGGGAGAGTTCAGGGGAAGCCCAGGGAGGCGGATGGTTTCCAGGGCCTATACCCCATCAAGGGTACAACTTCAAAGACAAATAAGTTTAGGCGGGTTCTCAAAGTCCCTAGAAGTTTTACCTCAGAGTGGAGTCCTCATGTGTAAAATAAACTGGAGAAGGAAATGACAAACCACTCCAGTAACTTTGCCAAGAAAACCCCAAATAAGGTCACAGAAAGTCAGATGCAACTGAAAAATGACTGAATGAAAAGAATTGCCTCAGGTTGTCAGGCAGCATAGGCCAAGAGAGAGTAGAGGACGGGGAGCTGATGGAGCATCATCTCTCTCTTTTCCTTGCAGGCATACTTGGCCAAGGAGGCCAGTGGAGGGAGTACAGTTGAATGAATGCTTCTTTCTTTACAATAAGGCGGGGACAAGCTAGGCCAAGAGACAGGTGGAGGGAGCAGGATGGAGAGGCATCTTTCCCCACCCCTGCTTTTAGGACAAGGCCAGGCACAGAAACCAGAGCACAGTGGAATGTCATCTCTCTGTCCCCTGAAGGCAAGAAAGGATCCCTGCAAAGAGGAGGAGGCCAGCCTAGGAAACCACTTTTTTTTTTAAAGTATAGTTTGTAATCTAACAACATTGATATTATAAGAGAAATTGTTTTCTAACAACTCTGATACAATGGTTTACCACATTTCACAGTACAAGAATACAATACCATAAACAATATCATGTATCTGAAGCATGAAACAAAACCCATTACCAATCAAGTAGCCTCAATGCATTTGAATGCATTTCCAAATAACACAGAAAATCATTTACCTCATCAACATTGGTACTGTATACTGACCACATCTAAAACCTCATTTAAGTTATCAAGTTTGAAGCAATTACACCTAATTAAAAGAATAATAAAAACAGTTAACATTAATATAGTGTTTTCTCTATGCCAAGCACTGGGTTAAGTACTGTACAAGCGTGCTCTTCATAAAGATATGAGGACGTGTTATTATTATCCTGTTACAGAACAGCAAACTGCAGTAAACAGACATAAGGTATCTTGCTTGGGGTCAGAGAGTAATAAATTTCTTAGTGCCAAATATGACTTAAACGAAATCTGAAGTTATAATCACTGATTGTAGCATTTCAACCTCCAAGGCCCCAGCTACTGATAACTCAAAAGAAAAAATATTATCATTCATAAATCAACATATATGTGAATATAGGTACATATATGTATATACGTGTGTGTGTGTGTGTGTGTGTGTGTGTGTGTGTAAAGATATGTGGTGACATTTCCCAGCTCCAACTAATTGTCTCCTCCACTTCTTTGAAGAGCTGGATCAATTCTCAATCTTCTGCCCTCCTTTACCTATCTTTGAGACTTTTCCAGGTAAGAAGCTGACCTAGACATTTGCTTTCATTTCTCAATATAGACATATTCTTAGAAATACATATAAAGTTTTACAAACAATTTGAATTTCCATGTTTTATCATTAGGCTAAGTGTTTTTAAGGAGTTTAAATGATTTTAAAAATTGAATGAGAGTGATCATGGGGGAAATGCAGAAATGAATGTGAACTATGGAAAAAGTTGTTAGAAAGAGAATTTTCAACTCAGAATAAGAAGTACAAAACTTTGGTCAATTAAAAAAAATCTTTCAAAAATAGAATGGAAAGAAAAAATTACTCCATGAGACAAGAAGATATACAGTCTAAACAGGATTTACTTTATACATTAACAGCAGCTTTAAACTTCTATAAAAATTGCAGCTTATGCTATTGATGTTCATTTTAACCTGCTGAAGCTATAATAATATGGCATAGTGGATGTAGGTATTCAATTATTATTTTTTAAAAATGTCCCATGACACATTTACATAGTGGTACAAAAAATATAAAGCAAGTAATACAACTTCTGGAGTATTAGTTTTGACTGCAAATTGAGGCAATCAGGTGAAAAAATGGTATGAAGGGGTTTATTTAAAAAAATGAAACTATTTTACTGATTTTGCATGAGTTAGGTCATTCAATACTCAGGTTTGGGCAAACCAAGGAATTTCTGATTCTCTTTTAGAACGGAAGAATACATATATGCAATATTTAGAACTGATCATTGTTCTCCTGGCCAAACCTCTGAATTGGGTTTGGGTCTGAACGGCAAACTTGTGGCCTTGCCCCAAGTTGGAATTCCAGTAGACTGCTGTTGGATTAAACCTGTGTACAGAAGCTAGAAAACTATAGATTCAGTGTAATAGAACTGTAGGGTAACCTGTGGGTTCATTTCATACTCTGGTTTTTACACTATAGTTTTTAGACTAGACTGGATCCAGAAACTCAAACCTGCCCAACTCCTGAGGCCAGAGTCATACAGTTAATTCTTGCTTCAGAACTGGCTCCCTACTCGGTAGTTACTTAGCCAAAGGCCTAAGACTATGGCTTCCTTTAGAAGGACATGCTTAGACAAAAGTCTGTCCATTAGTCTCCCCTGAATGGAAAACTAGTGATAGAAAATAGGGCAGTAAGCAGCAGGGCTATCAGCTAGTAGAAGTTCCTTCTTAATTGCCAAAGCTGAATGCATCCTATGGGCCTGGGGCCTCTCCTTGCTCTGGTAGACAGCCTCAGGCCTTTATCAGTGGCTGCACTGAATGTTCCCAGTGGCATGACCAAGGGTGTAGCCCCAATTCTAAGAGCCACACACCCTTCTGTTTATCTTGTCCATAGATCCACTTTTTCTATCTCTTTCTGCCCAGCTGGGCTGAAAAAGTGCCTGACCCTGATCTGCTCAGGATTTGTTGATCAGGACAAGGTTCGTTGCATTTTCCAAATATTTAGGTGAAGGATTGTTGTGGGACCCTCGGCTGCAATTCCTCCTGCTGTTTTCCCCATTTTGTTGTATCCATTCCTCATACAAAGGCTGTTCCCACATTTTTTGTGTTCCACATGTTATCCCTCGTATCTCACGTGAGTCTTATATTCCATGCATTGTCACAATGTCTTGGTGCAAAGTTCGTTAAACCAAGACCCGGGGCAAACTTTTCTTGTTGCCTGTTTTTTATACATATGATCAGTTCAGAATGGCTTTTGTGTTTTAAAAGAATATTTTATTTCATTATTTTTAAATAGCCCAAATGCCATGAAAAGTGAGACAGAGAACAATATTTTGTGCATAGATCCATATCTGGACTCATGCTCTTGAGAGGAATCAGTCAACCAGCATTTGTGAATCAGTTATCATGTGCAAAGCCCTGTGCTAGGCACTGCGGATACAATGACATTCCATGGTCCGTTATGTCTGCAGCTAATCCCAGGCTCCAAATGAAATTGGTGCCAACTAGTTAATTCACATAGACTCACAACATTGATTGGGTTGACATAACATTAAAAGGTAAACTCCAACTACTTAATGAAAAGGGTGAGATGATTAAAAACATCTTTTTAAACAGGTGTTTCCAGATGTCAGTATACTATAATAAAAGACTCATGAAGAAAAAAAAATGAAAAGATCATCATTCATTAAGTGCATGGGTAAAACATAAGGTGCATAATCACATGGTAGGAGTAGTGGTGACTGATGAAGTGCTCGTTTGCTTCATTGGTATGTTTGTGATGCTGGGAGAAATTAGGGAAAAGCTACATGATGAGGAGAGGTGACCAGTGGGAAATTGATGGGAAGATAGAGACAGGAGTCTCCCAGGATGGGCATCTGAGGGCTGTGATCACAATCTATGGAGGGAAAACCCACAGGGGAGAGACCATTGAAAGACTGGGGTGTTGTCAGTCTTACCTTTAGTGACAGCAGTATCAGGAAATGATAAATATTTATTACAGAAAAATTATTTAACTGTGATGTTGGCTTAGTGAGGATGAGAGCAAAGAGTCTGACTTGACCCCAATTCAAGTGTGACAGTTGTGGTATGAGAAAAGTGATTAGTTTTCTATTATATTAATAACCAATTATTAATTGGGGATCCAGTTTTTTTCTTTTTCTTTTATTTCTTTTTCAAGGCCCACCCTACCCCCCTGT